TGTTGTGGTTTTTGCAAACATGATGCCTTGAATAAAGGTGTCAGTTTTTGTGTCAGTTAAAAGGGTAAAACCTATTCCTAAAATAAATATTGTTTTATATATTTTATTGTTTCCCTTTAACGTGACGTTACCGAAAGAGCTAAGAATATAAATCGTCTCGTGTTTAAAAATATGATTGTTTCAACGTGAATTGCTTAATGAAGGTAACATTTTAAGTTCGCATTTGAAACCGCTGCATAGCCACAGTGTGATTTGTGCCTCGGGGAGGTCTCGGGGCGGCTGTGAAGGCGTCCGAGTGAGAGGTTACCCACTTCAGTCGTTGCCATTCGCTTCTAATTTCAGCCACTGCGTTTGACACCCATTCAGGGCGGTGCATAAGACGCACGTGGCTGCAGTGAGACGATGTCACAGCGCTCGGTGGCACTGCGAAAATATTGAATAGAGCAGCAGGTCACGGCTTTTGGCAGTGTCAAAGGGTTGTTGTTGTAGTGTGGACTTGAGAGGGTAATGGGGACAGCATTTGAGTGTTTTGTTAGTTTTGTGTCGTATTGTTTATGAAATGCCCACCGTTGCGAGATAGGACAGTTCAAGAAGTACTTTCACGGGGGTAGCCGATAACATGACGAGGTTTTCTTCAGTGAGAACGCCACCGTTACAGGCGTCACTCACGACAGCCCCACCTCGTGGACATGTCACGAGCCGCCTCTAGCAGCTGCACAAACACAAGAACAACCGCCATTCGCCACTAAGTGGCGGTGACGTCACCACGACGCTTGTGCCAGGCCATGTGCACCATTGAGGCCATGAGGCACGGATACACAAACGCAGGAGACGCAGCGATTTAATGGATGAACGAGCTTTCTAAATCTCGTTTCAATGGTCACTTTTATTCAATAAACTATGTTCAATGAGTTTAACACGTAGGCTTTCGCGACCAATATTATCCATGATAAAGGTTTTGTTTTGGGTGGCGTAAATATCAATGCGTCGTGAAACCCGCACAAGTTATGCATATTCCCAGTTGTTTTCTCCAGTCGTGCATTCCTCCCTCACGCACTTAGCCAGCTCGTTGTAGGCAACTTTTATTTTACACTCGAATTAATCTGGAGCTGTGCCCTCTACCAGAAGAAACTCGACTCCCAGAGACCACTCTCGGTTGATGGTGGTGAAGAAGCCAAGGCTGTCGGTCCCTTACGTAATTAATACTGCAACAACAAGGAGACACGTGAGTTGGTTGTCATTGGTGGTTATTGGCAGTGGAAGGCCGCGTGTCTTGCTGCCTCAGAGAGAAGAGAAAGGCGCTGGAATGCGACGAGAAAAAAAACTGCCCTGCAACTTCAAACTCGCAAACGATTGTCACCAGCGGCCATCTTACGTGAGGGAAGCGTCGCCCGTTGTGGTGAACGGGAAATCCGGCGATGACGTCTTCAACACGCCCCCTTCACCTCCCCCCGTTTGCCCCCCCCCCCCCACCGTTATCCTCCCGCTACCGCTAGGGGCGCTGCGCGAGACGAGACGCCTGCGAGGCAAATAAATAAATAATAAGGGCGCGGCTACGGCCTGTGACGTCATTATCCAGTTTGGGGGCGGGGTCAGCGCGTCACATCCGGCGATGACGTCGCTAATCGTCACAGGCTTAATACACACGTGACGCTCACACGCGAGTCCTCACACCTGACCTGGCTTCGCGTTGGCAACACGTCGTGGCAAGATGCTGCTCCTGCATGTAGTCATACCGTTTGTCGCGTTGCTCTTGATTCACTTTCCAGATTGGTTGAAATACAAAGGAGGAGGCAGTGTCAACTACCCGACTCCATTGGTCACAAAGCCCAACATAGACCCCTTGCCATGCGTTGTGTCACAGCAGCTCATGGCCGTTGCGATAGTGATGATGGCTGTGATCCAGATATTCCTGTGGCGACGTTGGAGCTGTAACCTATCCAACACCCAGCGTTACAGCAGCCATGCTGTGCGAGGAAAACGTGAAGCTGCGTCAAAGAAGAAGCACGGTGGAAGACGACAACGCATTCCTTAAGGTTCAGGGAGGCGGAGACTGCGTAAAGACAATGAGGCGTTGCGTCTAGAGATACTGCTTCGGGAGAACGCAATGGTGCTGAATCAACAGATGCTGTGTGAAAAGAACTGGCTCGTAAAGAAGGAGAATCAACGGCTGCGTCACGAGAACGAGAAGCTGATTCGTGCCGCAGCCGCCCACGCCAGCCACGGCCAACGTCTCCGCCAATGCCGCCGACGCTCCCACCGCCGCGAACGCCGACGCCGATGACGCCACCACCGCCGCTATCACGACTAACGAGGAGACCTCCTTTGCTGCCACAGGCCAACACCACATCGTCCACCAATGCCGCAGACGCTCCCACCGCCTCGAACGCCGACGCTGATGACGCTACCCGCCTCCATCGCCGCCACTGACACCCCCACCGCCAACGTCACCAACAAGACCAAGAAGCTTAAATTTCGATGTCTCAGAAACTTCTTTCGTAAACGCTTCAATTTGACACGTTTAAGAGCCCGAATAAAAACATCACCCACATAAAGGCAAAAGACAAAGGACCCCCGTATAGCCTTAACAGACTGTTTGGATAATGGCTGTTAGCAAGGACGTATGACGTACACGACCACTCCTCACACACACATGGACCACACACACGCACGTGCCTGACTTACTAATGGGTTCTGTTCCTGAGGACCCTTCGTAAGTCGAATGGTTTGTCAGTCGGGAAGCAATAATGTACTGTATTTAAATGCACATATCCGTCGGTGTCATAAAATGTGTTATGGTTAAACAAAAAAAGGGAAGCACTGTTAAGCTTATAAATAAGAATTATTGTATATTTGCATGTAACACTCTAAAAAATGTACTGTATGGTAAATACAACTTAAAATAAAGTAACATAAAAAGAAATTCGTTTTGTTTTCGTTACCTTGAGTCCTGATGCTGGCTTGGTTGTGTAGGAGAAATAATTGTTAATTAAAAGAAGAATTTTGATTTAAAGCTTTGGTGACTGCAGTAATTCATATTCTTAGCTCTGTCGGTAAAGTCACGTTGATGGGAAACAATAAAGTAATAATATATATATAAAACAATAAAAATTCTCACGACGTTTCGACTGCAACACAAGCAGTCATCATCAGCTATGAAAACCAACGGCAAGAACATTTTCACACCTGATGATGACCGTTTCTGTTATGGTCGAAACGTCGTGAGAATTTTGATTGTTTTATACATATTTTGTTTCCCTTCAACGTGACTTTACCGAAAGAACCAAGAATATGAATCACTGCAGTCACGAAAGCTTTAAATAAAAAAATAAAGGTTTTGTTTTGGGTGGCGTAAATATCAATACGTCGTGAAACCCGCACAAGTTGTGCATATTCCCAGTTGTTTTCTCCAGTCGTGCATCCTCCCTCACGCACTTAGCCAGCTCGTTGTAGGCAACTTTTATTTTACACTCGAACTAATCTGGAGCTGTGCCCTCTACCAGAAGAAACTCGACTCCCAGAGACCACTCTCGGTTGATGGTGGTGAAGAAGCCAAGGCTGTCGGTCCCTTACAGGTAATTAATACTGCAACAACAACAAGGAGACACGTGAGTTGGTTGTCATTGGTGGTTATTGGCAGTGGAAGGCCGCGTGTGTCTTGCTGCCTCAGAGAGAAGAGAAAGGCGCTGGAATGCGACAGAGAAAAAAACTGCCCTGCAACTTCAAACTCGCAAACGATTGTCACCAGCGGCCATCTTACGTGAGGGAAAGCGTCGCCCGTTGTTGTGAACGGGAAAGCCGGCGATGACGTCTTCAACACGCCCCCCCCCCCTTCACCTTCTCCGTCCCCCCACGCCGTGAGGGGACACAGGGATTGGCAAAAGCGAGAAACTTTTCCCTGTGTAAGATGGCCGACAGCAACGCGTACATCGCGGCAGCGCTCCCGACCCCCCCTACCGTCCCCCCACCCCCCACCGTTATCCTCCCCGCTACCGCTAGGGGCACGGCACGAAAAACCGCTTGAGTTAAAATAAATAAATAAGGCGCACCTCGGTCTGTGACGTCACAGACCCCATTTTTTTGGGGGGGGGGGGGGGGGGGGTCAGCTGACGTGCCCGGCCGGTGTCAGATTCTAACCGCATCACATCCGGCGATGACGTCACATTCGTCACAGGATAAATACACGTGGCGATGGTGCTGCATCCACAGATGCTGCATGAGGAGAGCCGGCTCGTAGAGAAGGAGAATCAACGGCTGCGTCACGAGAATGAGAAGCTGATTCGTGCCGCAGCCGTCAACGTCAGCACCTCCACCAATGTCACGGACACTCCCAACGCCGCGAACGCCAACACCAACAACGCCATCACCACGATGCCAACACCGCCGCCACTAATGCCATTGCCAAGACGAATAAACTTTCATTTTTATGGCTCAGAAACCTCTTTCATTCAACTATTTCATTTTAAAAGTTAAAAAGCCCGAATTAAAACATCACACACAAAGGCAAAAGACAAAGAACCCCCGCATAGCCTTCACAGACTGTTTGGACAAGGGCTGTTAGCAAGAACGTATAACCTACACGACCGCTCCTCACACAAAGACAAAGATCCCCCGTTTTGCCTTAACAGACTGTAGGGGCAGGTGCTGTTAGCGAGCACCTATGAAGGCCGAAATGGTACACGAGTGGGTGGGTGGCCAGCACCACGCCCGACTGCCTTTGTCTCCCCAGTGGCGATGTTTACACCGCACCAGGTACTCATTTGAGGCTGAGTCGACCTAGGGGAGGCCCGGGACCGGTTCAGATAATCGCCACTGGTGTTGGCCGTGAGAGGGAATCGAACCCGGGTCGCCAGGTTCATAGCGCAGCGCGCTAACCGCTACACTATTGCTCCCCACACATGGACACACACATGGACACACACACACACACAAGTGGCTGACTTACTAATGGGTTCTGTTCCTGAACAGCCTTTATAAGTCGAATGGTTCGTAAGTCGAGACGCGATAATTAAGTGTATTTAAATGCACATACCTGTAAGTGTTATAAAATGTGTTATGGTTAAACAAAAAAGGGAAGCATTGTTAGGCATAAAAAAACAATAATTGTACATTTGCCTGTAACACTGTAAAAAATATACTGTATGGGGAATACAACTCAAAATAAAGTTTCGTTAAAATAAATGAATCCGATTTGTTTTCGTTACCTTGAGTCTAGTCACGTGGTAACACTGTGGTGGTATTGTGAGTAATGTATCACGTGGTAACACTGTGGGGGTATTGTGAGTAATGTATCACGTGGTAACACTGAGAGCCGCTTTAGGGGGTATTTGGCCTACTCTTTCACACGCTTTCCCCCACGATGTGCGACCTGCCGATCGATTAACCGCTCTAGTCGGCATGTAACAATCGCTTTTAATTCCTCGCCTAACAACACTCGCTCATTCGTATGACACACACGGCAACGCTCAAGTGTCCCACCAGGCGAATGTGCTCACGTAAGGTGGAAAGCCAGGGAAGGGGGGAGGATGGGACAAGGGTGGCGACGGGTAGGCCCACGGTGGGACGCTCTGCTTCTGCTTGTGACCCTTCTTCCATGCTCCGTGCCCACCCTTGGGTCTGCCTGGCATCTCGTAGTCGTCGGCGGAGGGGGCACTCTCCTGCGGCGTCGGCAGCACACACGGGAACGCACATCGGAGAGACGCTTTCGCGCGATTCTGCATTCCTTAAATGACTACGGCTTGACCTCGTATAACGGACCATGCTCATAACGACAGCCCGTTTATTACGAGCATAGCTGCAGTGGCGTTAATTCTCGTGTCGATTCGCATACTTCCACACAGCGTCCGGGTTACCTTAGCCACCCTACATATATAACGATCGTGCTCGCTGCCAAGCATCCAATCATTGATGGGTTTTTCTTTTGTATTCTATGAATAATGTACACATGTACCTGCCTGTATGTCATGTTTTAATTTAGCATTTGTTTAGGATGCCTGTTCAAATAAACCATTACATATACACAGCGACACATTGACGCTGTCACGTGTTTCCTCAAGGTCCAGTTTAAGTTTTCATTCCAGGTTCGCTAGTGGTTCGTTCTAAAGAGGTAATATCTGTATTTACATAACATTACATATGGGCCTTGAAACGACGCACTGCATTGTTGGCACAGCATGTACTTCCACAATGACAGAGATCCCCCGCATAGCCTTTAACAGACTGTTGGGGCAAATGCTGTTTGAGAGCATCTATTAATGCCGGCACGGCACGCGATGGAGATGGTTGGCCAGCACAATGCTTGGCTGCCCTTGTTTCCTCAAATGTGGATATTTACACACAGCACCAGGTGACTATTTAAGGCTGAGGACAACCTACGGGAGGCACAGCAAAAGATTAAATATTAGCCACTGTCATTGGTCGAACTCAAGTTGCCGGGTTCGGGGCGTAGTGCACTGAACCGCACCATCACTGTACTTCCATTGGCACACGTAAAAGACAAAGATCTTCTTGAATTACTAAACCATGTGGCAGACGAGTTTGTAATCTGACTTAAAAATCGATCGAAATTAGCCTTCATGAAACGGGTTTTCTTCATGTTTTTACTTCTCTTCAAATGCAATGCATTTGGTTCAACGACACTCCACAGCTTTAATTCCCCACGCAGAAAAAAATCTTCGTCTTGCTAATCAACCTACTCGTATTGTTACGCTGCAACAGAAGGGCACCTCCTCACCTCCACCCTCGGTAACATGGCCGAATAAAACATCGGGCTGGGTCCACGTCCTGGCGAGAGCCACGTAGCTGCCAACGTTTAGGGGTTAGGCTGCTTTTCTTCACAAATGTATCAAAAGCTTCCTTTCCACCACAATGAAATGAATTATGCTATAATTTACAGCCCTTCATGAAACCATCTTGACAGATGAAGGTCTCACCATGCCGTATTGGGTCATGGGGGGGAGTTGTTTGACCATACATCGCCATTTTGGTTTGTGCATGATGGTCAATGTGGTCCCAGGACTGGTTTGAAAAGTTACAAGTTTAAGCCTTGGGGGAGGGGGGGGGGGTCGGGTTTTTGCACCACTGGCTCAGAGCAAATGAACATTTGCCCCATTGCATGTTTTGAGCAGGAAAGGCAGCTCAACTCTCAACGAATCGATTCATCCGAATCCATCACAGCCCCGCCGCCCCGACTCACCTTGCCAGGCCCGGGACGCCGGAGTCGGCGTCAGCAGCTCGCGGCCGCGTCGCTCTCTCCCGCCGGCGCCGGCGGCAGACTCCGCCGCTGGCGGCAGAAGATCGGCGAGCTTCAGCTCATCCTCGTTGCCGTAGGCCCGTGAAGACCACGACGCACGGTGCCGGCGCTGGCGTCCACCGACTTGATCGTGGCGTCGTAGACCACGCCGTCCTCGGACCAAGGCAGCCTGGCACAGGTCGCCCGGCCTCCAATGGCACGCGAGAGGTTGGCACAGAGACGGGCAACGATTGACCCCGTCTAGCCGACGCGTGCCACTGGAGCAAGCGCTGTTGGCACACCTACGAAGGACGGCAATGGCGCAACAAGGCGGCGATGCGGCCAGCACCACGCCTGGCTGCCTCGAGTCTCCACAAAGTAAACCGCTGTAGTCTGCGCTCCACCAACGGAAGAAAAGCAAAACTAGCATTAACTCTCTCCTGAAGAGCTCCCGTGGCTGGAAGACCTCGACATCGGCATTTAGCTGAGGAAAATTGCCATCCGCAGGACTGTGTATGCTTACGTACGAATTTGTGTTCCTTGTTCTCAGTGTTGTCGCAGCGGGGAACACACAAAGGGACCGTTTGGCTAACCATCAAACTTTTGGCTCGATTTTTCACTGTGCACTTTCAGATGCGCTTCTGCGGCCATCTAGGAACGCTCTTCCTTTCCGATATTAAGAAGCCACTGGAGCTATGCACTTTTACATCTAGACTGAAAACTAATTTCTTTAGAACTGATTTTTGTCTTCAGTTTCTTGTACTTCCCCTGCACTTCTGACTAGCGCGGTTGGCTATGTACGGTGCAAAACGTCGTGAGAATTTTAGTGTTTTATTTGCATTATTTTATTATTTCCCTTCTACGTGACTTTACCGAAAGAACCAAGAATATTGTGCGAAAGTAATTCAACATACATACATGAGAATCTTTATTTAGACTGGAGGAATTCGATGAGCTATGAAGCTCATTTTCCCAGATGGTCCAGAATGGGGAGCTCAGCAAAGTACAACAGCAAACAATACAAATGAAATGATAGGAGTGAAAAATAAAGAAAATGGTTAGCAAGTCACTAAATATAAACAAAGAAATTTATTAATTACGGGAGTCCGATTTATCAAGCTTGGGCAAGGCAGCAAAAAACAACAAAACAGTCCCAGGCCACACCGAGATAACACCACACGGTAGCAGTCTCTCAATAAAATGTCACATTAACACTGAGCTCGAATCTGGCTACAACTCCAAATGGCTCACACGGTGGAGCCTAAACAGACTGAGAGTGGATTTCGGCAGAAGCAACTCTCTCACGAAATCATGGGTGGTTTCCACGCAAAAGAAGAATTTGATTATGATAATATGGCTTTCCCCTTTCTGGCAATAAAACTGAAAGGGGAAAACCCTATTATCATAATTTAATACTGGCAAAGGAGGTTTCATGAAATAATTTGCTTGTCAGGAGAAGCAAACCTCATGGACCTTCTCCCTGAGATTTCCCTGCAGCACTACAATGCCAAACACCAGAAGCGGTGGCCTGTGAAGAATATTGGTGAAAGGCCAATATAGGTTGGACAGCAGACACGACAAAGCGGACAACTATTAACATCACGCAGGTAATGGTCAAAGTTATAAATCACATTTGCAAATAAACGTGACAGCCACATCCAGAGCACCAGTAATCTTCTGCTTCAGGATATTTACCTTGTCGGAGGGCGACACGCTGCTCCTCTTGTGCCGTCTTCCGTGTCTTCGCCCGCTTGTTCACGGACTTTGTCTCCCCGTAGGTCTTGGGGCTCTCGCAAGTGGCGGTGCTATTTTTGAGCGCTGTCTGAAAGAACACGGGCGGTTAGTTGAGGTTGGTTGGGTTTCGTGTGGCCACGGCCATATACACTGACGTAGTCACGGGCCGTAGGTAACCCACCCCTGCTCTAAGACGTGTAGGACCGGGTGTCTCGATCTGCTTCTGTACATACACGTACTACTTTGGAACGGCTCGTAGAGTGTTGGCAACTCAGCAATTTTGTTGCTCGATTTAGAGGCATTTTTGGGGGTTTACCAAGCGACCAAATTTGAGTGACTTTCTGGGATAATTTTGAGGATTTAGAAGCAATTCCCGCTGCGTATGAATGTACGCATTCACATGACAATTAAATTGGCTCATCGACTCAAAAAAGCACGCTCTTAGAAATCCTACGTCACTTTGCTATGGCACAATGTCGAGTGCCATTTATTATAACTAGTCTAGGCATAATGCAGCCTTATTGAGTTAGCAACAATGCTGTCAAACCACTGTGTGCCCATTTTCCCCATTCATATTTGTAGCCGACATGTTTCCAACCTGCACACGCATCACTGTGCACGTTCTCCGCCGCCTGGTGAGGAAGTTCGTTTAGACAAAAACAGTCAAATCAACTTGAGCAAGGCGCTTACCATCGAATGATAACACAGTACTCGAAGATGTACGCATGTTGAATTTCTTTCGCATCGTACGTAGCCAATCATACTAATCGGAGGTATGGGGGAAGGAGAACAAAAATGTAGCCGTGAAGAAATTAGTTTTGTAACCACTGGTGGTGCACGTGACACATGAAGTGTGTTATATTGTCGGGCTTTCCCGGGTATCCCTTGCAACAGGTGTGTTGTGTCTCAAGGTGTAAATATAACCATGTACACGCACACAGAGATACGAAGTGCACAAGTACACACAGACAAGCGATACAAAGACCCCCCCCCGTATAGCCTTAACAGACTGTTGGGGCAAGTGCTGTTAGCAAGCACCTATAAAGGCCGGAAGAGCACACGAGGGGGTGGGTGGTCAGCACCACGCCCGGCCGCCTTTGTCTCCCCAGTGGCGATGTTTACACACCGCGCCTGGTCCTCATTTGTGGCTGAGTCGACCTAGGGGAGGCCCAGGACCGGTTGAGCTCGCAGCCAGAGTCTGAGACACTCACCTTGAAGCACGTGACGGCTTTGTCATACGCCTTGATGAGCGCTGTGTCGTCCCAAATGTCAGAATCGTCACTCTACACAGGGCACACAACCACCACCACCACGACCCTTTTGAGTCGACATCGACCGCACGTGGCACGCTCAGCACGTGCTACGCTCAACACGCGGCACGTGCCACGCTCAGCACGCGGCACGCTCAGCACATGCCACACGCTCAGCACGTGCCACACGCTCAGCACGCGGCACACGCTCAGCACGCGGCACACGCCGCACGTGGCACGCTCAGCACGCGGCACGCTCAGCACGCGGTGAGACCCACGGCGTTCCCCGACACCCGGAGCGCTGTGCGAGAGAAGTGACGTCCGTCCACTGCAGTACCAGGGCGCGGCGCATTGCGGCGCTTGTTTTGACCATACTTCACCACGCTGGTACCAGAGCGGGTCTGTGAATGCGGGCGAGTGAAGGCTCGAGTTCCGTACAGTGCTGACACACACGCAATTTGCAGGTTAATTGAATGCAAGTACACCGTCGAAAGTGATAGCAAGAGGAAATTATATACCGAGCCAGTGGTAGAAATTCCTCATTTCGAGGGCGGCGAGCGGCGACTCGCATATGACCACCGCTGTTGATTCGCCACAAAGTAGTGCACTGTTGACTTCATTCATACCGCACTGTAGTGTCACTGTACAATGCACGTAAGCCCAACCGTGCACGCGCAGACAGCGCTGTACACGCGTACCGTGCGAACATAACGTCAACAACATAACGTCAATAACACAACAACATAACGTCAACAACATAACGTCAATAACACAACATAACGTCAATAACATAACGTCAACAACATAACGTAAAATTTCGATTTAAAGCTTTCGTGACTGCAAGGATTCATCTTCTTTGGTTCTTTCGGTAAAGTCACATAGAATGAGAATAAAATAATAAATTGATAAAATAAAATAACACAATAATATTCTCACGACGTTTCGGCCACAACACAAGCGGCCTTCATCAGGTGAAGGGACGAGACTGTCTGGTAGGACAGCGCTGGAGTGAAAAAGGCACGCTCAGATCACGACCTTTAAGCTGTGTCAGAAGAAACAAAGCGCCTTGACAAAGGAATTAGTATATAATTTAGCATTGAAATGGCCGAGTGATTAGCTTGTGACTGGTCACAGAAATGGCTATGTTAAAGTTAAAGCATACACATCCGCAGAGGCACCCCTTGACAAAGGAATTAGCATAGAATTTAGCATTGAAATAGCTAAGTTAAAGCATACACATCCGCAGAGGCACCCCTTGACAAAGGAATTAGCATAGAATTTAGCATTGAAATAGCTGAGTGATTAGCTTGTAACTGGTCACAGAAATAGCTATGTTAAAGTCAGAGCATACACATTCACCGAGGCACCTAGTATAAATCAAACAGGAGAATTTAGCATTGAAATAACTAGGCAAATTTAGCATTGAAATAACTGAGTGATTAGCTAGTGACTGGTCACAGAAATGGCTATGTTGAAGTCAAGGCCTACACATCTGAGCTATTCACAGTAACTGGGTATACAATACAATGTATAATGAATACTATATAGTGAACCAATAAAAAACTAAAATATAAATTACCTTAATGTTATCAATAAACTCTTTATTCTCCAATCAGCTAAGGTACCAACAATAAGTCGTTATATTATCACAATGCTATATGGCGCAAAAAATGGGTGGATTCTTACCCTCAACTTTAGCAACACGGATAGCTACGGGCCCCGTTCAGACGGACGAGTTCATCCAAGGTCGGAACAGAGGAGGGGGAAAGAGACAGCTGCGAGGCGCTATTATACTCCATGGTGTAAACCATACCATTAACCGTGGTGTGAGAGGTATTAAGAGTCAATGCTGGCGAAAGAGCTGCGGTCTGAAGGTCATCGTAAAATACAATTAATTAAGAACGGAAATGGTTTAAAATATCTTTCCAATGGTTACTAAGCCAGAATCCATCTTCTCGGTTGAAATTGTCTCTGTGCTTGTATATGTGAATGGCCTCATGAACGAATCTCTCATGGTAGCCGGTTGGTTTGCAAAGAACCTCCGTCTTGGAGAAGTCAATGTCATGTGAGCCCACTGAATTATAACAGTGATCTGCCACGGCAGAGGAGTTCGTCCTACCGTGTTTCAAGTCTGCTTTATGTTCACGGATGCGGTCCGAGATATGTCGTTTGGTTTCTCCAATGTAGCTACTACCACAGAGGCACTTTAGTTTGTAAACGCCAGGGTAACTGTATGTCTGGAACAGCATCTTTTACAGATGGAACTAGATCATGGATTTTATGTATTGTGTTGAATCGGACCTGGATCTTGTGTTTATTCAGGATTTTGGAGATTTTTTTAGTGACCCCTGCAATGTAGGGTAAGGTGATGGTTTTGAGTGGCTCCACAAGAGAATCCTTGCAGTCACGAAAGCTTTAAATCGAAATTTAACCGCCTCTACGGGGAGGGATTTCACACATCCTTAAGATCATTCAACAGACTCCGGGATAAGAAGGCTCAACTAATCGAGTCTCTCACCTTTCTGAAGAGATGCCGCGACTCTAAGGTAATACCAACCGCATTTACACTAACCTCTGCTGTTGCAACTTCTCTCAATGCAAAACGAATTCTAGCTAGAACTAGCTTCGCTCTTATCTCGGAAAAAATCAGACTTACACGCACCGAACTCGATCAGTTAGACAAGACACTCTACAAATCACACTTAACATTGACAGCAACAATGTCTACATCGGATTGGGAACATGTAGACAATATGACTACCTCGAAAAGATAGACGTCAACAAAGTCGTAATTAATCGCAGTAACAGTTCCATTTCTGATGGTCTGAAATCCATTTTAGCTAAAGGTCTAAACTTTGCTGTCACACCGAGACACTTACCGGTTAATTATATCATTGCCCATGTCGACGTTGCACTCAAGGGCTTGAGTCCCATCGCTGCAGACGTAGCAACATCTGAAATCGCTGCACCCCTCAAAAACGCTAAGTTGCCACCCAGCAACATCAGCAAAGACGAACGTTTTGAATTATCTCAATTAAAAAAGAGGGATGATATTGTCGTCCTCTCAGCCGACAAGGGCAATGCCACTGTCATCATGGACAAAACAGAATATAACAACAAAATTCAAGAACTACTCAACGATGGCAGCTATACAAAAATAAAAAGAGATCCCACCAACAGCCTGGTAACCAAAACGAACAAAATCATCTATGATTCAACAGCATTAATTGATGAGACCAAACAGTTCTCGTTGAAACCCTCTGCTGCCAGACCACCAAGATTATATGGCCGTCCAAAGATACACAAAGAAGATACACCCCTTCGTCCCATCGTCTCTACTATCAACTCCCCCACCTATAAACTGGCACGTTTTCTTGCTGATATACTGCGACCTTTCACTGGAAAAAACACCTCTGCGGTACTAAATTCTACTCACCTGATATCGACAATCAAAGGCATTTCCCTGTCCCTAGACGACCTGCTTGTCAGTTTTGATGTGGTGTCCTTGTTCACCAAAGTCCCGGTACCTGACACCATCGCTATCATTGAAGACCTGGTTCATCAAGGACTGCACACTGATGTACCCCCCCTGGTGAGACATTGCTTAACCAACACATACTTCACCTGGAATGGAACTTTCTACAAACAAACTGAGGGCACTCCAATGGGCTCCCCCTTATCTCCGGTTGTAGCCAACGTATTCATGGAAAAATTTGAAACTGACGCCATCCAGACTGCCACTCTACGCCCGACCTTATGGAAGAGGTACGTGGATGACACCTTTGTCATCTGGCCACATGGCCAGCCTGCTCTAGACCAATTCCGCGACCACATCAATTCCATACACCCAGCCATCAGATTTACCATGGAGGTCGAAAAAGATGGCAAACTACCCTTTTTGGATTTCTTAATTAAAAGGAGACATGATGGTTCAATGAGCCACTCTGTCTACAGGAAAGCCACCCATACAGATGCTTACTTGAAACCGGATTCCCACCGCATCCATCCCAGAAGAACTCCCTCATCAAGACTCTATACCATAGAGCCCAATGCATTTCCGACCAGGAACACATTACCAGTGAACTCAAGCACGTACACCAGGCTCTCAGGGCTAATGGTTACTCCGACTACACAATCCACAAAGCCATCACTCCAGTCATGAAGAAGGATTATCTTGTGGAGCCACTCAAAACCATCACCTTCCCCTACATTGCAGGGGTCACTAAAAAGATCTCCAAAATCCTGAATAAACACAAGATCCAGGTCCGATTCTACACAATACATAAAATCCATGATCTAGTTCCATCTGTAAAAGATGCTGTTCCAGACATACAGTTAACCCGGGCGTTTACAAACTAAAGTGCCTCTGTGGTAGTAGCTACATTGGAGAAACCAAACGACATATCTCGGACCGCATCCGTGAACATAAAGCAGACTTGAAACACGGTAGGACGAACTCCTCTGCCGTGGCAGATCACTGTTATAATTCAGTGGGCTCACATGACATTGACTTCTCCAAGACGGAGGTTCTTTGCAAACCAACCGGCTACCATGAGAGATTCGTTCATGAGGCCATTCACATATACAAGCACAAAGACAATTTCAACCGAGAAGATGGATTCTGGCTTAGTGACCATTGGAAAGATGTTTTAAACCATTTCCGTTCTTAATTAATTGTATTTTACGATGACCTTCAGACCGCAGCTCTTTCGCCAGCATTGACTCTTAATACCTCTCACACCACGGTTAATGGTATGGTTTACAAAATGGAGTATAATAGCGCCTCGCAGCTGTCTCTTTCCCCCTCCTCTGTTCCGACCTTGGATGAACTCGTCCGTCTGAACGGGGCCCGTAGCTATCCGTGTTGCTAAAGTTGAGGGTAAGAATCCACCCATTTTTTCGCCATATAGCATTGTGATATATAACGACTTATTGTTGGTACCTTAGCTGATTGGAGAATATAGAGTTTATTGATAACATTAAGGTAATTTAAACTTTAGTTTTTATCGTTTCACTATATAGTATTCATTATACATTGTATACCCAGTTACTGTGAATAGCTCAGATGTGTAGGCCTTGACTTCAACATAGCCATTTCTGTGACCAGTCACTAGCTAATCACTCAGTTATTTCAATGCTTAATTCGCCTAGTTATTTCAATGCTAAATTCTCCTGTTTGATTTATACTAGGTGCCTCGGTGAATGTGTATGCTCTGACTTTAACATAGCTATTTCTGTGACCAGTTACAAGCTAATCACTCAGCTATTTCAATGCTAAATTCTATGCTAATTCCTTTGTCAAGGGGTGCCTCTGCGGATGTGTATGCTTTAACTTAGCTATTTCAATGCTAAATTATATGCTAATTCCTTTGTCAAGGGGTGCCTCTGCGGATGTGTATGCTTTAACTTTAACATAGCCATTTCTGTGACCAGTCACAAGCTAATCACTCGGCCATTTCAATGCTAAATTCTATGCTAATTCCTTTGTCAAGGCGCTTTGTTTCTTCTGACACAGCTTAAAGGTCGTGATCTGAGCGTGGCTTTTTTCACTCCAGCGCTGTCCTCCAGTCTCGTCCCTTCACCTGATGAAGGCCGCTTGTGTTGTGGCCGAAACGTCGTGAGAATATTATTGTGTTATTTTATTTTATCAATTTATTATTTTATTCTCATTCTACGTGACTTTACCGAAAGAACCAAAGAAGAACATAACGTCAATAACACAACATGTCAATAACATAACGTCAATAACATAACGTCAACAACATAACGTCAATAGCATAACGTCAATAACACAACAACATAACGCAGTGGTTCTTAACCTTGTTGGAGGTACCAAACCCCACCAGTTTCATATGCGCATTCACCGAACCCCTCTTTAGTGAAAAATAAAATGTGATTTTTTTCAAATTCAAGACATAGATATGTTTTTTACTGGTACACAAAATGAGCCGTGCATGAACATTACCTTGTTCAAAGAATAAAACCAACACAATGCATAAACTCACAACAAATTACATACCTGGAAATCAATGTGACTTCTGCTGTTGCCTTTGAGAGATCAGTTCAGATATGCGTGGCTTCACCTTGGCAAGTGCCACTCTCATGTCATTTTCACAGCAAAGTCTGTTCCTTTTCTTCGTTTTTATGTCCAGCATCCTCGAAAAGGATTGCTCACAAAGATATGTTGTAACAAATGGTATAAACAAATCCAGGGCTTTCTTAGCAATAACTGGATACTTGTTCATTTGTCGACACCAAAACGTTGAGAGCGTTGTTGTTCTGAAGAGTTGCTGTTGAACCTGGCTCTGCTGAATTTCAATGAATTCGTCGAGGAATTCATCATTGACATCTGCTGTTTCAACAGCAAACGTGAACGGCTGTCTCACCCATGCTGGATATGACTCTCTTGTAGGGAAATATCCGTCGAGAGACTTTGCAAGCTCATCTAAGTGCGTGGCAATTGTTTGCTTCAGTTCCGTGGATACAGAAATATCTCCGATTCCAGACACATCTTCGATCTTACTTGCACAGTCGTCCAGAAGCGGGAAGTTTGCGAAGTTATTGTTCTCTGTTCGTCGTTTCCATAACGGTAGCTTTTTTTGAAAAGCCTTCAGGTGTTCTTCCGCTTCCATGATATTGACTCCACCACCCTGCATCTGCTGATTGAGATGATTGAGAGCTGCGAATATATCAGCCATGTACGCTAAAATGAGAATGAACTCAGGATTTTTGAAGCAATCTGCATGGCAGTGTTGGTGCTCTTGCAAAAACAGGGCTAATTCCACACGCATGGCAAAAACATGATTCAGCACCTGTCCCCGGGATAACCACCGAATATTAGAATGGAGCAGAAGTACCTCAAATTCAGAGCCCATTTCTTTACACAGCTCACTGAAGATGCGGTGCCTCAGAGCACTTTTTCGCACATAGTTCACACATTCCACCACAGTTTTTAATACTTCTGCCATTTTTGGAGGTAAGGTTTTTGTTGCCAACGCATGCCTGTGCAGAATACAATGCGTCACAATGATGTGTGGTGCATCGGCCTTTACTAGCGCACCAAAACCAGACTTTCTTCCCAGCATGACTGGAGCTCTGTCCGTACAAACTGCAGAAACCATATCCCATGAAAGATTGTTGTCTCTGAAGAAGTCATCCACAAGCTTCTTCACATCGGCTGCCTTCGTTGTTGTTGTAAGAGGCTTACAAAATAAAAACTCTTCTTTTATCATGTCGTCTTTCACATAGCGTACAAAAACAGCAAGCTGGCTTAGATCAGAAACGTCTGTGGTTTCGTCGAGTTGAAGGCTGAATTTTGCCGGGCTTGAAATCAGATCTGCGACTACTTGAGCCAAGATGTCTTTACTCATGTCTTCTATTCTGTCACTGACGGTGTCATTTGAAAGGGGAATTTGGGATAATTTACCTTCGGCAGCTGTTCCGAGTATCAGATTCGCCATCTTTAATGCAGCTGGTTTCACAAGTGTTTCACCAATTGTGTGTGGCTTGCCCTGCTTTGCGATCAGGTAAGCAACTTCGTACGATGCTGTCAGGATCGGTTTGTTAACAGGTACAAATCCAAGAGCAGGCAGAGTGGCCCTTTAATCGAATCTGGCTCTCTTCACCCTGAATTCAGCAAGTGTTGTGTTCTTGTATTCCCCGTCTCCGTGCAGCTTCAAGAAGTGTTCCTTTAGTTTTGCCGGTGCAAGACTAGAGTTGCTCAACTTGGCATTGCAAATCATGCAGATAGGACGCTCACTCCCATCACGTTCCGTGATACATGAGAATCCATGTTGTACATATTCGTCCGACCACTTTCTTCTTTTGCCCGACATAGTTAGTATGGATAAAATATTAAAGAAATCACACGACGTACGACAACAACAGTCACACGTTGACTACTGAGTATGCACTAAATTCCCCGCAGCGCTGATTGGCCAAGCAGTGTAGCATGATCATCTGCAGCCAGTGATGGCCAAGCGGGCCGTGTGTGTCATCACAAATTTACACAATAATTCAAGTGTGTCCGGACCTCCGTGGCGGGGGCTCTGCCGAACCCCTGAGATCGACTCACCGAACCCCTGGGGTTCGATCGAACCCAGGTTAAGAACCACTGACATAACGTCAATAACACAACACAAGGTCAATGACATAACGTCAACAACATAACGTCAATAACATAACGTCAATAACATAACGTCAACAACATAACGTCAATAACATAAAGTCAATAACGTGTTCATTCTGCTTCGCGGTGCACAGCATACAGAAGAAGTGCATCCGACAGCCACGACTCTACTGACGCTACCCCCCACTCTCACCAACCCGCACTGAGCAGGCGAGGTGAAGTATGGTCAAGTTAATAAACCCCACGGGGTGTGCAGAGGCCCTCGTCCAGCAGTGGACACGTGGAGCACAAAGAGGAGGGGGTATGGGAGAGGAGGAGCGGGCGCGACTTGTCCATCACCTGCCCCTTCTGGTAGACGACGTCTCCCCGCGACACGGCCATGGACGATGGCGCGAGCGAGCCCGCAAAGAGGCCCCCCAGGAGCTTTGAAACCTCGCAGGAGAAGCGCGCGACTGAAGGTGGTGGTGGTTGTTGTTGTTGGCGGCGGGGGTGGTGGTGAAGCCAAGCCGGCGGTT